ACCTGCCGTGGGCCGAGCGCTCGCCTCTGCCAGGCCCTGCTGCAGCGCCCTTTCTGCCATGGGGCCAGCGGGCCGCAGGCTGGACTCACTGTGAGCCGGAGTGAACCTGTCCTCCTTTAATCTGCAGTGTTGGACATTTGTCTCTTTATTAAATGTACATTCTCCTTACTATGAGCGAAGTTGGGTATCTTGTGGCCATTCACATTTTAGTTTGTTACTTGCCTGTACATTTCATTTCTTAACCAGTTCCGTTCGTCACTGACTTACTGGAATTTTTTTCTAGGGTTAATCTTTTGCCTGTATGTTACGGCTTGTACCTAGATGTTCCCCTGAAGCCTCCTGTGGTCTTGAACGGGGCTGGATTAGGGCGTGTGAATGTGGAGTAAGGGTGACAGTGGGATTAGGGGTGTGGGTAGTGGAAGCCCCGCTCTGGGTGTGGGTGGCACTAGTCCGTAGGCTGGTAGCCTCAGAGCATGAAGAAGATGAGCCTGCTGCTGCTGCTGCTGCTTGTTGCCTTCTGGTTTGCCACACCATCGACTGCTCTGCCATCACGCTCTGCCGTGCCACCCGGCCTTGGAGTCAGCCAGCTATGGACTGAAACCTGTATATACTGCGAGCTACAGTGAACCTTCCTCCTTTAACCTTAGGTATTTTGTCTCAGCAGTGAGAACGGTAACTGAGATACACTGCAAATATTTTTTTTCTTTTTTCTTTTGGTGTAGTTCAGGCTGGCCTTGCACTCACTGTGTAGCCCAGGCTGGTCTGGAACTCACAGCGATCCTTCTGCTTCAGCCTCCCCAATGCTGGGAATACAGGCGTGCACCTCCATGCCCAGCACAATATTTTCTGTCTTTGCAAATATTTGTTCCATGTTATTCTGTGCCTTTTAACTTTATGGTAATTGTCATTGTTTAGACTTTTTTTTTATACAGTCAACACCTGTAGCTTTATCTTTTTTACTTTCTGAGTTCCAAAATGAATTTTCATATAAAATTAATTCTGGAAAATGAAATTTCTAAGGTGTAATAGAAAGTAGTGTTTTAATTTGTGTTCTGCTTTATTTTTAAATTCATGTGCTTAAAGTTACAGTTCTCTATATTGTAATTAAGGCAAGCAACTTCTTAAATATCCCATGGTTAAATATGGACTTCTCAGTGTCTCTGCTTACTAAAGACTACTTTGCTCCTGTAATCTAAGGCAGGAATGTACAATAAAGTACAGGTGGTACAGAACAGAAAGAATAAAATATTTCGAATACAGTGCTTCTTGAGTTATCATGGGGTTACCTTTCCATAAAATGTGGATAAAATATCACACGTTAAATATGCACTGAATACAGCTAATCTCCTGAGCATCCGAGTTTAGCAATGTAGTGTACTACAGAAGTGAATCAGTTGTGTATTTTCACAGTTACATGATTGACTGGGAGCTGTGGTTCTCTCCTGTTCCTTAATATTGAGAAAGATTATTATACAGTGTTTCAGTAGCCTGGAAAAGATCAAAACTTAAAGGGTGATTTTAACTAAATGGATATGGCTTTTGCACCATCAAGAGGTGGGTATTAAGCCATCACTTGTACTTCTAATAGCCAGACAACCATAGTGTTCGGTGCGTTTTATCTTTTCTTCCTTTTTTCTAAGATTATTTACCCTGAGATGATCATAGTTAAAAGAGGTTCTTAATTTGAGATTGTGCTAAAACATGTTACTCGAGATGTTGCTTATTAAATGCATAGCTGTATGATCTCACTTCATCTGAAAGGAAATACATCTTTCTTTTCTTTAAAATCTGAGGGCTGCAGCCTGTCAGTTGTTATAAGTACCTTTGTCACAGAGCTTGTAACTGATTTGTAATGGCAGGGTACCCCCCAGTGGGAGGTCACTTGCCCTGACATACTGATTACAGTATGTCTGAGGAAAGCTGTCAGGTGTGTATTGCCGTACATGACAGAACATTAGCTAGTGCATTTCTAGCACTTGCCCTCAGATTTAGTTGCTATGCAGCAAATGAAATGAAGTGTACTACGTTTTTGTCCACTCTTTGTTTTTTAATCTTCTGTTGGCCTAGCCCTAGGCTATTTTTATTTTTTACTACATGCAAGAATATATCTTCAGGAGTGCTTACTAGGTAGAGTATGTTTGTGTAATAACCATTTGGTTTTTTATAAGTCATTGGGCTCTGGTTCTTCTGGGTTTCAGGATGTGTTGTGGGTGGCATATATTATAGATACTTTAAGCAATATTGATCATTTTGATATCGTATTTCAAGGGTAGGCTTTATAATTCAAGGTCTAGTGATAGCATATTAAATACAGTAGAAGTATTTCCAGTTGCAGCTCTTGTGTTCTTGTGTTTTATGTAGTGAGAGATACTAGGTTACATATTAAATGTATAGTACACATGTGGTTACTAAGCAATTTGGTTTGTCCAGAGTTACATACATAAGAGGTAGAAGTCTGCAAATCTTCTGTTTCCCTGTGCATAGCTGGAGAAAATTTCCACTAACTTGGACCCATCCATAATTTTGTAAAATTCAAAATAGTTGTGAACATACTTTATATTATTTTTCCTTAAATATGATTTGTGTAGATTACTGTTACAGGTTAATCCTAATTACATGGTGATAGAAACATGTTTTCCTTGTTTACTTATTGGAAAATATAATTAACATATATAAAGTGAGTCTTATGTATTTAAATTTATCTTATATATTTACCCATATAAAAAAGTTTTTTCCATTCTTATATTTTGTGTGCAAGAAAGATTTTAAAATGTATTTGGGTATAAGTTGAAATGGGCTGGACTGGATATAAATTGCTAAAACTTGGATCTTACTAAATCCAATGGGATTATTGAGCAATGTGGAAAAAGTCACAGGTGAAAGTGACTGGGAAAGCGGGAACTCTATGAAGTGATGATGCAGTGTGGGTCATTTTTCGGGACGGTGAAGCCAAAGAAGACATTCTTACTTGCTGGTTGTTCTTTCAGCTTGCACAGTACTACTGTTTGGGTTACAGAGGAGAAATATCTTGATAGTGGAGCTCACAAATCACTCCTGAAGTTTTATGTAGGTACTTTGAAAAACTCTGTGCAAATGTTTTCCCTATGCAGTGTATTCCTTAAATATAGAATTGAAATTTTCCTTTATTCTAAAGAAGTGAACTGCTGTGATTTGTTCTGATTGTGCTGAATGAAGTTGATAAATTTCATAGCCCCTGGGGGATTTATTATCTTGGTAATTGCCTACTTTGTCTGAGTACAGATTTTTTTCTCTAGTTGGAAAGAATTTGTTGTAAAGGAACATGATTTTGTAAAGAAAATATATTTTGTTCCCCTGTGGTATTGCATAGCTCATTGACAAAATAGATTGACTGTATTTATTGTTTTATAATTTTTTCTTTGAATACAACATTTTGCTTACTGCTGCCTTTACAGAAAGATTTTTCTTCTTTGGTAACAATAACTGCTTCCAAGGATAAAATTATTTTTCCTTTAAATTTATGATTTCACATTTTAAAAGTCTTATCTATTTATCACATTAAAAAAGTCGTATCTATTTCTTTCTCTTCTTTAATTGCTCTGGCTAAAGTTTCCAGGACTGTGTTGAATCAGAGTGGAGACAGTAGACATCTTTGTCTTGTTCCTGATTTTAGAGTGAAAGCTTTCAGTTTTTGTCCGTTTAGTATGATATTGGCTGTTGGTTTGTCATAGATGGGTTTTATCAGATTGAGGTAAAGTCCATCTATTCCAATTTTCTGTGGGGTTTTTATCATGAATGGGTGCTGGACTTTGTCAAAAGCTTTTTCTGCATCTATTGAGAAGATCATATGATTTTTGTCCTTGGCTCTGTTAATATGGTGTATTACATTTATTGATTTATATATGTTGAACCATCCCTGTGTCTCTGGGGTGAATCCCACTTGATCATAGTGTATAATCTTGCTGATGATTTGCTGCATTCTTTTGCCAGCATCTTACTGAGGATTTTTGCATCTGTGTTCCTTAGGGATGTACTTCTGTTTCTTAGTTGGGTCCCTCACTCGAAGCTCTTCTTGACTTGAGTGTCTGTACTGAGAAGTCAGCTGTGATTCTGATGGCCTTTCCTTTGTAGGTGATTTGTTTCTTTTAGCTAACAGCTTTTACGATTCTTTTCTTGTGTTGAATTTGTGAAATCTTGATTATGATATGCTTGGAGAGTTTCTTTGATTGTGGCTAATTGGAGTTATATATGCCTCACTTGTCTGTGATGTCAGATTTATTTTCCTTACCAGGGAAGTTTTCTGCCATGACATCTGTGAACAGGTTTTTTATATTATTTGTGCTATCTGCTAATTTTTCATTGACTTCAATCAATCTTTTTTTTAAAAAAAAAAAAAAACTATGCTCAGTGACTCTAAAGCAAAAATACAGACAAAAACATAGAGGAGCTTACAAAAATTATGGAAGCCATGAATACTCACCACAGGAAAGAAATGGAATCCGTAAGGCAGATTCAAGCAGATAACCAGGAGAATAAAAATTCCATTGAAAATATTCTCAGCAAATTAAGCCAGTGTGAGGACAGGCTTTCAGTTAGGGATCATAAAAAGAAAGATTCCTTAAAAACAGCAAGGGACCATGAGAAAGAATACAGCAGCTGCTAGACGAGTCAAACAAGAATAACTTAAGATTGATTGGAGTCAGCCAGGTGTAAGGGTGCACAGCTGTAATCCCAGGTCATCGTCTTCTTTAAGTTGTTTTTTTCTTCTTTTGTCTTTTTGAGACAGGGTCTCGCTGTGCCGTTCAGGCTGGCCTTGAGCTCACTTTGTAGCCCAGGCTGGTCTTGAACTTGCAATGATCCTCTTGCCTCAGCCTCCTGTTCAAGACCAGCCTTTTCAACATTTTCCTCTACATCCCACCTCTTTTATTTCTGGGGGACGGGTATTGTATAAATACTAGTTTAGAAAAGAAACTCTATTTAATAATAAGTATTTATTTCTTTCCTTTTTTGTTTTCTTTTAGGTTGCTATGGGGTTGATGGAGAGAGTGACTCTATCATGAGTTCAGCTTCTGAAAACTCCACGGAGCCTTGGTTTTGTGATGCTTGTAAATGCGGTGTTTCCCCCAGCTGTGAGCTGTGCCCTAACCAGGACGGGATTTTCAAGGAGACTGATGCTGGAAGGTTGCTGTCCTGCTTCTGTTGTGTTCATATACTGCCTGTGACCGGGCTGCTTGTGAATCCCCTGTGCTTCTGTTTATGATGTTCTGAGCTGCACACTTGATGTGATTGCTTTTCTGTGTCTTCTTGTGTGGAGTAAATGCCCGGTAGGCTACACATGAGAGAAGGGAGGAAGGCAGACAGCTTGTTGTGTCCGGTGGGGAACAGAAAGGCCTCTTTTGCGCTGTGATCTACTGGGAAGTGTGTTCAGTAGCTGTGGTGGCTGTTACACGTGGAGACGCTCTCTTGATACGCAGCCTGGCAGAAACATCTTTTATTTACTGTTTGAACACTTTGTATTGATGTTTACACTAGCATAGAGGTATGGAAATTATAGGACTTTATTTCATTTTGCTGGCTGCAGTACCAGCTTGATTCAAGATATAAAAAGTTAAGAAAATTTGACAGGCTTTTAGTATTCCAGCTTTAAATGGAAAGTGGGAGAAAAGAGAGAGTAATGTATAGAAAGAATGAAAAAGCTTAGTTTTTGAAATTGCCTTCTGTCAAGGGGGCTTAATTGGAATTTTTTCCCTTTTATTGTTGATGTGAGGCACAAGTTCTGCATAGAAGGTGATGTATGGAATGTGTGAAAACTGTAAGGATAGTGTGATTACATTTTTAATTCTTACCTCAGGACAAATGTTCTACCCTATCTTAAATACCTTACAGACCGCTTATGGGAAATAGGAGACATGCATTCCTTTTGTCCTTCTTGGTTGTTCTCTTGTCTATTGTGTAAGGAAAAAAAGCTCTGAGCTAAATTCCTTAATTTTTCCAAGTAAGCACTGTAAGAGCAGTGGAGGGCAGCATTTAGTTCTTTTAAGTCACAGTTATCACTTACCAGCCTTACTGTATTCTGAAATTCACTTAATCCTGTGAGGCCATTTTTTGATATGGAAAGTGAGAAAAGTAATCTCCCATCACAGAAAACTTGCAGGATTTTATTCCTTTCTAGTACTTAACTACAGAGTGGAGACAGCAGGTTAGACACATACATATTTGTAAATTTTAAACTGCTTTTGTAGCACTCCCTGCCTGTTAGATACTTAGGAATTGTTTATTGAGTGAAGGAATAAAATTAACATACTGACAAGAGTGTATGTTATAAAGACACTATAAATACAAAGCATTTCAAAATCATATGATTGATTAATATAGTTTCCGTTCTGAAAGGAATCTTTTGAGAAGTACATTGCTATTGAGTCTGCCTTATTAACGTATGCATTTAAAAGAGCTATAAGGGGTCTCTATTCTAGAATGACACTTTTGACTGTTTTCTGGTGGCTTTATGTGATGCTTATTTTTCTGCTCCTTTCCCCGATCCACATCTGTCATCATAGCTCCAAGCAAAATGGATGGTAAAGTAAAAGGAAGATGTTTTTTGGTTTTCGTTTCCTGATTTGTCTTAATTACAGGATTCTAAAATATGTTGCTAAACACATAAAAAATACATACTGATATTAAAAGTGACCAAAATTGTCTTAGCAATTTTCACTTACTTTGATACGTATTTTTAAGAAGGGATCAAGTTGGTAGCCTCACACGAGTGGTTGGACAAAATGATACACTTGTGTGCCGGTCACACGGAAGTGTACAGTACTTGTGTGACTTGTTAAAACATGTTAAGAAGGTCAGTATGGAGCAGGCAGCCAGCTGTCGTGTTTATCAAAAATGAACTCCTACAGAGCACAGCGACATTTAATACACCAGCGGAGCCCGCAGACTGTACGGATTACATGGAGAAAGCGCTGCTGGCTGGAGATGTGTATCTGTATATTGAACTCCACAGGATGCACTTGGGAGGTTGGATTAAAATGTTCTATCAGGAAAATCAGGATTTTTTCCTAATAAAAAGATAACATTTAAAAAGATTTGGTACTGTTCTCCTCAGTACCTCTGTGCACTGATTCTTAGTCCTTTAAAACTTGTATCATAAAACCAGAACCATGTACTCTTCACAGCCTCTCATCTGAAAGAAAGCAGAAGTTGTTATTAGTATATTCAAAGTCAGTAAATCTGTCATCTCATTTTTACCCTGTTTTTACAGAAGCAATATAAATCTGCTATTTAAACTTCAGAGACAGTGGTTCAACACTGGCTGTAGGCAGAGTGCGGAACGTATTAAAAGTGGTTCAGATCAATTTTAAAAGCATGACATCAGAACCAGCTCTCAGTTTTTTAAAAGTCTACTGAAACAGAACATTCTGTGTTTCGTGTTACAGCATTGTTCAAACTTTAAAAATATATTGATGTGTGAGGCGTGTGAATCTTAGTACGTACACTGTTCGGTGAATAAATATTATATTTGTATCCTACCTTCTTCCAGTGATCAGATTTGAACGTGGGAAGAAAGTTAAACTGCATATCCAAATGTGTTTTAAAGTATGTCCTTAGGATTACATGACATCTTTTGTTGGAAGAATAGCAGTAAAGAACAATTTTATCTAATTATTGCAGAGTAAACCTCACAGTTCTTAAATTAGGATCCTGAGTTCTCTGAATGCTTATAGCAGTGACTGAATGTTTCTCATATGCATACGGAAATGTTTTGTTTCACTTACGTAGTAGTTTTATGCAGATATTGAGGGTAACAGATGAGGGCAAAGTGCAGTGAATTTTAGTGAAATAAAATAGTTAAATCTAAGTTGTGGGTAAGCTAAGGGAAAGCAGTGCTTAACGCTGGCATGTTTTCTGTAACTACCTGCTGTCATTCTGTTGGTGTTCTGTATTCTTCATTTACGCGTCTGAGGTTAAGATTTTAACATTTGATCAAGGACTTCTTTCCGTGGTATTTTAAGATGGCACAGGTTTTGTGTTTGTTTTCCATGTGAGAATTTCGTGAAAGGCTCTGACAGCAAAATCGTATCTTCCCTCCTTCTAGATGGGTTCACATTGTCTGTGCCCTCTATGTGCCTGGAGTAGCCTTTGGAGATATTGACAAATTACGGCCAGTAACACTAACAGAAATGAACTATTCCAAATATGGTGCCAAGGTGAGACAAAGCGATTGTTACTGTAAAAGAGAACGTTTTTACTGCTAGTTTATATGGCTGTTTATTTATAGCATTGCCATTTATAGAGGGACTTATTAGCATACTGTTTGCACAGCTCTTTAGTACTAAATTATTTATTAATGATTTAGTTTTCCTAGAAATCTAATAATGTATAAATTCTTTGTCCTTTTTTAAAAAATCTCTTTCTCAATGTGTGACAGTCATTCTACTTTAGAAGAAAAACTAATTTTTATAACAAAACATAGCCCTTACAAAAGCACATCCATCATACCTCATGGCTTCACTTACCCGAAATATTGTTTCTCCTCTTATTTCTAGTTTTTCATTATTATAGATTAACTTAGAATTAACTTTTTTTTAGTGTTTTTGAGACAGGATCTCGTTATGCAGTTCAGGCTGGTCTTGAGCTCACTTTGTAGCCCAGGCTGGTCTTGAACTCGCAACAGTCCTCCTGCCTCGGCCTCCTGAGTGCTGGGATTATAGGCATGTGCCACCATGCCCGGCTTGTGTTGAGGATTTTTGGATCCTTTCCTTTTCTAATGCATCTCATGAGTGAACAATTTTGTCAGGATTACTGTAATTCTCAGTTATCCTTAGGTAAATTTATCCATATTTTTCAATATATATAGGATTTGTGTTTGTAATTTTTGAACATAAAACTAGCTTGTGTCTTAAGATTTGAAACCTCAGAATTCCTAGATTCAGACCCATTTTCAAAAGGAACATGGAACCTGAACCAAGTCCAGTTATTGATCAGATTTGGTCTGATTCTGGACCAGTCTGCTTAAAGAAGTTCTCAAAGACAGCTCAAAAATGCAAATTGTGGATCCTGAATCTGAGAGGGACTTACCTCCCTACACCCTCCAGTTAGGAACTTACTTTCCCACACCCTCTAGTTACGAAGGGGAGTGACACACACTGGTCTCCCTTTGCTCATTGCTGCTGCGGGTTGCTAAAGCGCTCCTTTGATTCTACTTCTGACACAAAAAAACTGTTAAAGGAAACTTTACACGGGTAAGTTTAGCAGAAGTTATTTTAACATTAAAAGATTCATGAATCAGTCATCACTAAAAACTAGAAGAGATTCAGAGAGCTCTGTGTTACAATTCTGAGCAGCAGAATTGTATGTGTAATGTGCAGGCAAAGTAGTTTCGTGATGGACTGCAGGGATGTGCTTACCTCCTAGGCTAGGCTGCAGTGGAAAGTCTCAAGTTACACAGCTAGGGTTAGTTGGCTGTTTGTGATTAATTGAAGCTCATTTGTTAAAAAAATTTTTGATGAGTTACAAGGAATTCCTCTAAATTAAAATTCAGTTTGCTTGTATGAAAGTTTGGTGCATATAGTCCCTTGCTTTGGTTTATTTTGCTTTAATGAAGTATCTTTGGGAAGTGGCGTTGAAAATTATATACTCTTCCTCATTTGCAAAATCAAACTCAGTGTTGTGAGTTAATCTGCAGCAGCTCTCGTAGGCCACTTTGTGTACTTACTTCCCCACCCTCATTATGTTTTATCCTCGTTTTCCCAGTTTCTTAGTTCACTGGCATTTTAAATAACTCAGGTCATTGTGGAAGATTCTAGTTTCTTTGGTAGGTTATTCCATAGCCTAGTAAGACTTTACTGTCTGCAAAGCTTTCCTTGTGTACATTGTGAAACCGTTGCTCAATTTCATGTTACATTAAATAAATCATTTAGAGGACTACCCTAACCAATCTGGAGTACCAGCTCCTTAGATTTAGAAGAATTCGTTTTCAAAAAGCACTGGCGTCCTTTCGTTTCTGTTTTCCTCTTTCTCCTTCCCTTTCTTTGCCTTCTCTCTCTGTCTGTTTTGGTCTGTGGTTACATTGCTACTTGCTAGTATTGTATGTTGTAAGTGATCTGCGTTTACAGGAAAAAGACCCTCAGCTAGATAATAGAATGCCAGGATTTCAAATTTTTTTTTTAACATCTATTCCTTGACTCATTCTCATTGTTTCATTCATTGCTGATATCTGGTCCTCCCAGGGGATAGTCACCAACTATTGTGGTATTAAAGCAGTATTTTTAGTGTCTAGTGAAGCTTTTATTTTCCCCTTTACATTTCCCTCATAATTAGTTTACTTAGATTGTTCATTGATATTCTTTCACATTTTAGTAGGTTTGACTTTCATGAAGATTTCTGTTACTAATACAGATTATATTTTGGGGTTAGGGTTTCCTTTTTTGTTAAGGATGGGAAGTTTTGGATAATGTAGCACTATGTACTTTTCGTTGTACATTTTCCCCTTTTTGTATAGATTTCCCTTTTTATATAGAAAACATTTAAATAATTTGCTGTGCTCTATGTCACTCAATTTCACCAATACATTTTCATCAAAAGTACTTTTGTTCTTTCAAAGGTATTTTTAAAAATGTATGATATTTTTGGAGACGGTGTAAAAATTTTTTAGCAGATAGTTTCTTGTTTTCTCACTTTTCAAATAATACAGTATTAAAAGTTAATATAGCTTAATGGCAGGTGTTAAAGTAACATTGTCCTGCAGTATGAAGCCTGACTTCCACTTTTTTGTGTTTTTTTTAGGTGTCTTTAACCTATGTCCATCCTTACTATCTCGTGTGTAAGACAAGAGTAATTCTCACTTCTACAGCATACTTGCGTTAAGTGATTATGTGAAGTAATTGAAGTAATATGTGAAGTAATTTGAATAGTACTGGCACATACTAAGTCTTCAAATAATACTTATTTTGATTATTACATTAGTTGGATTTTTATTCATTAGAACTATATGGAGAATTACCTTTTTCATATAAACTCCTGGCCTGCCTGCAGTTGTTGCTTGTATTAGTACTGTGTTGGCTCACTATTACATAGTATTTCTTTAGAATGTGAATATTTTATAGTGGGTTTCTGTGGGCGTGCCATCTTTGCTTTGGAAATACTTTTCCTGTCTTCCCGCCCTCTTACAGGAATGTAGCTTCTGTGAAGACCCTCGCTTTGCCAGAACCGGGGTTTGCATTAGCTGTGACGCGGGGATGTGCAGAGCCTATTTTCATGTGACCTGTGCCCAGAAAGAAGGTTTGCTTTCAGAGGCAGCAGCAGAAGAGGTAGGTTGATTTAACCCGTAGTTGCCGAATATGTTTGTAAGCCTTCTTGTGAGTCTTACGTCTTATAACAGATACAGAACAAAGAAAAAAATTTTAAATTTATTCTTAAAGTATTTGCCTATGTTACTGATCTGAAACTTTAAGAGAAAGTAGCTGAGTTTTCACAATCTTAAAACATCAGGCCTTTAGAAAAATATGAAAATTTTGTATGAAACATTTTAAGGTATTTTAAAGCGTTAAACTATCAGCACAGTTTGCATGAGAACCTAAGGTTGTGTTTGAGCGTCCTGACTCTGTTTCTCCGCGGATAAAATTGTGCGCAGCTGTCCCGGCAGGCCTTTCTGCAGTGGGCAGAGCACCTGCACCTGCAGCCTGCAGACCTGCTTTGGCTCGTGAGGCCCGAGGGTTCAGTCTGTGCTAGAGCTGCTAAGGTGGAAGCACCCACCACGGCGGGGGCATTATGGTCGGGGGCGTGGCTGGGGCAGAGCTGCTGGCGCAGGGTAGCTGCAAGTAGAGCAGGGGAACGGAGTTAGAGAGAAGGGGTCCAGGGACCAGGTGAAGGACCCAAGGCCGGGCCTCCGTGACCCACCGGACAGGCCAGAAGTGTGCTTGTTAATCCCCCGGCGGCTGCCACGCCCTTAGGGTGACAGTTCAGTGGAAATGGCACACCTGTCTTCAGTGTCTGAGTTCCTGTCTCCTTTCTGTTATTTTTAATTCCCGGTATTCTTTCCACATTTGTTGATTTTATTTATTTATTTTTGGTACCGGGAATCAAACTCAAGACCTTGCACTTGCCAGGCGGGTGCTGTGGCACTGAGCTGCGTCCCCGGCCACTGCTGATTTTAAATAGTCTGAGGTTAAAGTTATCTTTGTAACAGTATACAAACATTGTTTATTTTAAGAAACTACTTTCATGAGTAATAGTGGAGATTTCCAGAGTTTGCACAAAACGTGACAAAAGTGTTAGAAAGTTTTGAGACTCCTCTTTGTCTTACAGACATTAAAGAGAATTCTAAAAATATAAAACAGTGCCATTCTACATTTGTATATAAACTAGTTATTTTAATAAAAGTATGTACTTATGGTAATATTATATTAGGCTAAATTAATAAGCGCTTAAGAATTTTCAGTTTTAAATGTTATATGGTGACTGTAAGGGCTGCGGAGGGGGCAGGTGCCAGGCACAGCAACAGAGACGGGAATTTTATTGGCGTGGGAGAGACCGGCGGGACTGTAAGGGTGGAGACCGCGCGGGCAGACAGGCAGGGAGTGTGGGCTATGCAGGGGTAAGTGGCTGGAAAATTTGGGGGGCGTGGCCTTGGCTTTGTTTGAGTGGCCAGGACATTTCTGGGAGGGGCCGACATTCGCGGATTAGGTTAGAGCAGGATGCCGGTCAGGAGCTAGATTAGATTACAGCTGTCTTCCCAGGCAAATTAGATCAGAGAATGAACGCTTAACAGTAACTGTCTAAACAGAGAGCTCACATGAATTCCGTGGGGTCCTCAATTCTTGAGAGTGTTACAGAATCTTCAGAGCATAGCTGGTTGGTTCTTGAAGCGTTTATGTGCAGATAATTGAGTGTTCTGCCATTTTTCCCGTATTCATGATGACTTTGATACAGGAGAATGAAACTCCCAGCCTGCCAGATGTCCAGAACGTAGAGTTCGAGTTCGTGTTCTCTAAAATCAAGGAATGAATTATAAGAACAATGGAGGTTAAGAGTAGGAAGAATTTACTGAGAGAAAGAAGGCTTCTGTCCGAGAGGGACGGAAGGCGCCCTGGGAAGTGGGTTGCCCGCCAACCCCAGTTCTCAAGGGTGTTTTATTGAGCAAAGCCACGAGGTGAGCTGGGCTTAAAGTGGGCCGGAACTATAACCAGTCAGTAAGATTACAAATATAGTCTCTTAGGTCATATTGATCCAATGGCAAATCATAGGGTGGGTGTGAGGTGGGACAAAACGATGGTCAACCAATAAGATTACAACAGGCATAGTCACTAGGGGATATTGATTAAAAGGGGTCAAATGGGGAAACAAATCATAAAGCAAGAGCACACGGGCAGACGAGGACTTTCCTGGAAGGGGTGGGTAAGGAGGCTTGGGCCTCTACCCCAAGGTGATGGAGGCCTGCTTAGACTATTAGTCACTGCTGTTCATCTCTAGGGGAAGGACACGGGTGAGTGGTGCTTTTTCTTGAAGCCTGGCCTTCAGTGAATGCGCCTCTGGACACAGTTGTCTTCTGCCTGGCCTCTTGACCTAGCCCTGCCTGACTGCCTATATTATTTCTACCTAACTTAGCTAATACCTTTATGGTACTATCTAAAGCACCTTTCAATGTGTTCCTTCTTTTATTGGGTAAATTTTTAGTATCATGTACAATGTTTATGATGCTTGGGTTTTATATTAGTATATTTATTTCTTAACCAGGAAACAAGGATAATCTGATACAAAAAATTGGTTGAAAAAATTTGAGGGGTATATTTTATGTAATTTATTTTCATTTAAATAGACCTCATAGAAACACAGTGTTTTGATGCGTATCTCTCCGTCCCAATCTCTGACTCTGAGCGGTTGTACTGTGGTTACTTAACAGTACAGATGCGCGCAGCCTGTTTACGGCTGCATGCAGACGCCGAGGTGTGTTACACGGTAGGTCACTGAGGCGTGACCACACGCGAGGTTACGGGGCTCAGTGAAGGCTGCAGGCGTGGTGAAGACAAGAGCGTCCGGGCTCACTGCGTCTCGGTGGGCTACGTACACCCAAAACTTCTGTCGATTGAGCTTAGCTTCTACCTGTGAAAACTGAGCTTTGTAGTCAGGATGACTCTCTCGTGGTCATTGCTTTTCGAACGTCAGTTTCCCCGTTTGCACTGTGGTGGATTGGGTCCCTTTCAGTAGCACCATGTATGCAGTAATCCTTTGGGAAGAAGAAGGTCTGTTCCTAGGTAAGAAGCAAAACTGAAGAACCCACGAAGAATGCAGTGTAATGCAGCTGTACAGTATAGTGATTTAGAGAATGCGTTTCCGTGGGAGCTGTTGGCCGGAGGTGTGCCTGAGACTGGTATGCAAAAGTAGTAGGGGATTTTTGGAGCCACAAGCCCAAAACCTGCAGTGCCTGCTTGGAGATTCAAAGATAGCCTGGGCCCGAGTCACAGTAGTATCAAAATGCGTTGCTGTAAGGGGTGAATGATCTGGCTTTTGTCCTCTCCACACTCCTTTAGCATTCTTTGTCATGCAGAGTAGTCCCAAAGGCAGTCGCTTAACAGACCATCCCACCGTCCCGTTCTTCCAGTCCCCTGCCTGAGTTCCTGCCCACAGGCCCTTCTTTTTCTTGGGTTCTTGCGTTCTGGTTCTGTCAATGAAAGGCCACAGAGGGTTCAGCGCTTGCTGTCCTTAGGAGACTCACTCCCTGAGAGGTCTCAGCTGACGGCAGTGCCTGTGGACTCCCTTGGAGTATGAACTGGACACCGACCCCGAGTAATTCCATCCTTGCGCGGGGCCACGGTCGTGAACTGCGACGCATCTCTTCATCTGAAGGCATGAACATTTAAATGAAACAGAACGTAAACGGAAGCTGGGTAGTTGTAACCTGTGGTCTGCATGTCTGTGCCTGTGGGCTCATTCGGGAGAATTTGGATGGAAACCTGAAATACATCAGGATGCGGAACGTGGGGCTCAGGCCTCTTCCTGGCTTTGTCGCAGAAATTGGCCTTTGTCTGTAGGCGCTGCCTTGCTCAGGGTGCTCTTTTTGGGGGAAATGATAGTGTATTTACTTAACGTTCTTGGTTTGTTATGATAAGCACTTAGAGAGTTAGAAAATTATAAAGGTTTCTGAAGTGTTTCAGAATTGAAGACTTTGCATAAATAGGTATTAGTGAGGTTTGCTTTTCAAAGCAATCATTGGTGGTTATTTGTCCATGGTTATCCTGTACATTCAGATTCATGGAGTGTTAACATTTTAAAATTAAGGAGCATTTTAAATTAAAATAGATCTATTGTTTGGAAGCCTGTTTGTTTTATATTTTCTTTAACCTTTGTAAGATTTGTTTGTTTGTTTTTTTGAGACAGGGTCTCACTGTGTAGTGCAGGCTTGCATTGAGCTCACTTTGTAGACCAGGCTGGTCTCTAACTCACATTGATCCTCCTGCCTCAGCCTCCCGACTGCTGGGTTTACAGGCTGGGATTACAGGCATGCCTAAGAATTTTTTTTTAAAGACTTAGCAAGCTGGATCTATGATTTTTTTCTCATGGCTGGTTTTTTTTTGATGTGGACTTACATATCTAGTACACTTTATATGGTGGGTTTTTATTTTTATTTTTATTTTTTTTCTCTTTTTGAGACAGGGTCTCACTTATGCAGTTCAGGCTGGCCTTGAGCTCACTTTGTGGCCCAGGCTGGTCTTGAATTTGCAGAGATCCTCCTGCCTCAGCCTCTGAGTGCTGGGCTTACAGGCATGCGCCACCATGCCTGGCTTTTTACTTTAAATTGCTTTTTAAAATTTATTTATTAGTACACATGTGCAGTACACAATGATTATATTTATCACGGGGACTTGAACCCGTGCAAGCAGATGTGAATTCTGTTTTCATTGCCTGTCCCTCCCATCCTCTCCTGCCTCTGGGAACGCTTGTCCCCTTCTGATCTGCAAAAGCTCTGCTTCCGTTTTCCCCTCAGTCCTTTCTATCTCTTTTCTCCCTTCTCTTCCCTTCCCTCCATTTCTTGTTCCCCTTCCCAGTGAAAACTTCATCCCAATATCCTGTTATCTGTCTTTTATTTTGCTCTTTGTTTTTATTTTTGGGGGTTCCTCATATGAGAGTTTCTCATATAAGAGAATTCATGTGATATTTAAGCTTGTATGTCTGATTTATGTCACCTAACTATATGGTTTCAAGGTGCATCTATTTACCTATGAATACTTCAAGTTTATCTTTCCTTTTTTTTTTTTTTTTGGGCTTTTTGAGACAAGGTCTCGCTATGCAGTTCAGGTGGCCTTGAGCTCAT